ATTGTTATTTTCTTTCTAACACCCCTCCCCCAAAATTAGTAATTACTCCATCCGGTCCATAATAAGTAATTTTTTGACTATTTTTTTGTGGTCCAAAATTAGTAATTTTTTCATATTTCAAGAATAAATTAATTATTTTTTCTCTATATTGACCTTGGAGTAAATAGTGTTGGAGTATGTGTTAGGAATATTTATGCGAAGAGGTAGTGGAAGTTAATATGGTCAATTCATTACTAATTAATATTAAAAGGTGAATTTCTTAATATGTGTGAAAACGACCAAAAATCACTTATTTTGTACCGGAGGAAGTACCATCTTTTCCTAAGTTCTACAAAAGACATCAAACTGTCTGAGAAATAATTCAAAATTTTATTACGAATTTTAGAAAACGACTAAAAATACTTAAAGACTTCATGAAATTTAATTGTTTCTCCTATGTCATTTGTTTCTCAAATTTATCCATTTAAAAAGAAAAAAAATGATGCACAACCATGAAAAACAACATGTGCATCATTTTCGTGAAAACAGAAATACACTATATTTTTTTTAACACTTGGCTTTTTACATGATGGCATAATATAATTCCCTCAGGGATGACTTGACTATTATAACATCCACAAAGATGGAATCTTGTCATCTCCAAAAAAAAAAAAAAAAAAAAAAAAAAAAAAAAAAAAAAAAAAAATACTGTAGTACTCAAATTTGTGCACTAACATCTTTCAGTTAAAACAAAACATTTTTCAATTCATCTACACTGCTACATATAAGTGTTTGACTCAAAAGATATCAGAACCTTTTTTGAAAAAATCAATCAAAGAAAATGAAGGGGTAGACCTTAGCTAAGTATAATAATCTCTAGAACAAAAGATAGACAAGGAGAATATGGAGAATATGGAGAATAAGAATTCTTTATCTCATCAAGAAAAAACCTTAAACAATAATCCNAAAAAGCCCCCCCCCCCCACCCCGAGAGCTTACAAGTTTGTTTTACGCTCTATATATAAGGGACATAACCCTTCTAAGCCCTAGAAGACAAATTATAGGGAATATTCCAAAGAATATTCCCAATGTTCCCTACTGGGCCTGCACTATTGCAAGAGTCGTACAGTCTCTTGTTCGCTTGTAGGTCGTCCTTTGCAGGATGTCGAGCTACGAGGATCTCGTCGTTTGTCTTACTCATCAACAATCGTGGTTGTTCAAATTTGGACCCATACAGTTAGTCCCTCCGCTTGTTGAGGTTGCAACTTGGTGCGTCCACGATAAGCGGACACCACACGTTCTTACGGAAAAATTTGACCCTACGAGGCGTTACGACCTGGCCAATAGTGGGCGGTCAGCGTGCTTAGCAAGACACCAGGTAATGTATTTTACCGGGAAATGACGTCATCCCCACGTGCGTCATCATTATGCGTGTTTTTGAGACAGGAGTTGATGGCTTGTCGCTTCGATTTCGGTGCCACTCTGCGACCTTCCGCTTCGATTCTGGCGCCACCCAATCCTATAAATAGGTGGAGGGTTTGTTTTTTCAAAAATTCTTGGCCATTTCATTTCTGATTACACTTCCTGACATAATCCGCGACCTTTTTTTTCATGGTAGGCCAGTAGTATCCGGCGCGGATAAGGCATCAAACGAGGGCACGGTTTCCCGTATGGCACCGCAGTGCCCCTCGTGTACTTCTTCTAGTACTCGCCTTGTTTGGTTTGGCCCAAGACACTTGGCCAGAGGACCACCGAACGTTCTCTTGTAAAGATCACAGTTTACGAGGCTGTATCTGGATGCTTGTATTCGAAGCTTTTTGGCTTCTTTTTTATCTTGTGGGAGCGTTCCATCCTGCAAATATGTTACGATACGGTTGCGCCAGTCCCAAGTTAGGTTTACAGAATGTACCTCGACCTGGTCTATTGCGGAATGGAGAAGAGTGACCATATTTTCCTTGTTGATATTTCTAGTGGCTGTTGCTAGTTTGGCGAGATCGTCTGCTTCGATGTTCTACGCGTTGGGTATTTGGTCGAGGCGGCATTCATCGAATTCTGGCAGCAGTTTGTGAATTTCTGACTGGTACTTTTGTAGTCTCTATTCTTTGATTTGGAAAGTCCCAGTGACTTGGTTCACCACGAGTTGAGAATCGCAATGGAGGACGAGTCGTCCAGCTCCATATTTGAGGGCTAATTTTAATCCTACAATCACAGCTTCATACTCGGCCTCGTTGTTAGTCATCTCGAGGCATTGTATGGACTAGCAAATTACTTCGCCCGTAGGGACTTCGAGGACGAGTCCCAATCCCGATCCCGATGAATTAGATGCACCGTCGGTGTAGAGGACCCAGAGGTCAGAATGTGCAGAAGCGCAGAGCGCCTCCTGCTCTACTTTAGGTAATATTTTCGCGCTGAAATTGGCGAAAAAATCGGCGAGCACCTGCGACTTAATAGCAGTTCACGATTGATATGTTATATCGTGCTCGCTTAATTCTATGGCCCATTTGGCCAACCTACCCGATAGTTCGGGCTTGTGTAGGATGCCCCTAAGGGGGAATGTTGTCACCACTTTTATGGGGTGACATTGAAAATATGGTCTAAGCTTTCGTGAAGCTACGATTAATGCCAGAGCTAGTTTCTCAAGGTGAGGGTACCTCGTTTCGGCATCAATTAAGGTTTTGCTGATATAATAAATCGAGGATTGCGTACCTTTGTTTTCGCGGATCAAGACTGCAGTTACCACGACTTCAGAGACTGCTAGGTACACCAGTAGGCATTCTCCCGGGTTTGCCTTGACGAGTAGTGGAGGCAAGGACAAATACGCATTCAGCCTTCTTAGGGCATCGACACATTCTAAATTCCACTGCAGTCCGTGGTCTTTCCTTAGCACGTTGAAGAATTTATGGCATCTATCCGACGATCGTGAAATAAACCTCGATAGGGCGGCTATTCGTCCTGTTAATTTCTGCACCTGCTTCTTGCTGGTTAATGTCTCCGGTATTTCTTCGATGGCTCTGATCTGATCCGGGTTGACTTCGATACCCCTTTGTGACACCAAAAAACCAAGGAACTTTCTTGAGGTTATGCCAAAGGCGCATTTTTCGGGATTCACTTTCATTCTGTATTGCCTCAATATCTCGAATGCTTCCTTCAGATGACCAATGTGATCCTCTTTCTTTTTCGACTTCAATAACATGTCGTCGATGTAAACCCCCATGGTCTTACTGAGTTGTTCTTTGAACATCTTGGTAACTAACCTTTGATACGTTGCCCCTGCGTTATTGAGTACGAACGACATGACTTTGTAGCAGTACGTTCCTTGGTGGGTGATGAAACTGGTCTTTTCTTGGTTTTCTTCAGCCATTAGAATTTGGTTGTAACCAGAATAAGCATCTAAGAAGCTCAGTAGTTCATGTCCCACCGTTGCATCGATGAGCTGGTCGATATGTGGTAATGGAAAGGAATCTTTCGGGCATGCTTTTTTCAGGTGGGTAAAGTCGACACATATCCTCCATTTCCCGTTCTTCTTTTTTACCATGACCACATTGGCGACCAATTGGGGATATTTTGATTCTCGGATGGAACTACTAGCGAGTAAATTATCAACTTCTTCGTTGACCGCCTCATTGATGGTGGCATTGAACTTTCTCCTTATTTGCTGTACTGGCGGGTAAAGAGGGTCGACATTTAGCCTGTGTGTGGCGATGTCCCTTGGGATTCCTGGCATATCTGAATGGGAAAAGGTAAATAAATCAACATTGTCAGTTAAGAACTCATAGTACTTACCTGGTTCTGAGAGGTTGTGTCCGATATAAGCCTTTTTCGTGCTATCGGTGTTGTCCAATTGGACGGGGTCAAGGTCTTCTACGGTTTCCTTGCAAGCTTCTACGACATCCGGGTCTTTGATGGCCTCTATTTGTATGTCGGGTTTGGTTCCCGATATGGCTGATTGCTATGCTTCCGCACTTTACCCCTTTAGTTGTTTGGTGTGTGTGCAATCTTGGGCGATTCGGTAGCATTCTTGGGCGGTGCGCTGCTCATCTCGGATGCTGAATATCCCCCATGGGGTAGGAAATTTGATTACTTGATAAAAACTTGACGGGACGGCTCACATGGCGTGTATCCATGGACGCCCTATGATGGCGTTGTAGGTTGTTTCCTGGTTCATTACGTGGAACGTCGTCTCCAAGGTGACTCCTCCTGCTGCGGATGTTGAGGTTTCTCTCTCGTGCGAGACAGTCATGCCCTCGTGCGGGGAGGGGGGTGAGATCTCTCCCTCAGATGTAGCACTTGGCGTTGCATTTTTGTTGTCTTCCCTACCGGCTTCATTGAGGGAATTCAGGAGGTTGTTCGTGACACCTACTATTGCCTTTAACCTTGCTTCTCCCTTTCCTTCCATTGTTGGCTTTTGCGAGACTAGGAAGAGGTGATTATTTTTTTCAAGGATCTAGACGAAACTAAGATCTCAGCTATAGAAATCCCCACATACGGCGTCAAATTGTTTGATTCAAAAGATATCGGAACCTTTTTGAATAAATCAATCAAAGAAAATGAAGGGGTAAATCTTAGCTAAATATAATAATCTCTAGAACAAAAGATAGACAAGGAGAATATGGAGAATAAGAATTCTTTATCTCATCGAGACAAAACCTTAAACAATAATCCTATCAATCGTTTTTGTACAAGTGTTACAACAAGTGTTATCGGTTAGGAAGAATGCCCCCGAGAATTTACAGGGTTGTTTTACGCTCTATATATAAGGGACAAAATCCTTCTAAGCCCTAAAAGACAAGTTATAGGGAATATTCGAAAGAATATTCCCAATGTCCCCTACTGGGCTTGCACTACTGCAAGAGTCGTACAGTTTCTTGTTAACCTGTAAAGTCGTCCTCGTCCTCTGTCGAGCTACGAGGATCTCGTCGTTTGTCGTACTCATCAACGACCGTGGTTGTTCAAATTTGGATCCATACAATAAGTAGTTGGAAATTAAAAGGGGCAAGTAGTATATTTAGTCAAAGTCCAAAATGAACAACTCCACTGATCTTGGTCCGGCACAGCACAAGAAAATTATCATTAGACTAGATAAACAATCCTGATTGATTAGTCACAAATAAAGAAACCTCTTTGTTTCTCTCTCCCTACAGTAGAATCAGATAAATTCTTTTTCCTGTCCAAGAAAATGGCCCTAGAGTTATGGGAAAACTTGAAAGACTCCATCACAGCTTACACAGGTCTCTCACCTACAACATTTTTTACAGCGGTTGCTTTAGCACTTGCTTTTTACTATGTTGTCTCGGAATTGTTTGGTTCAACTGATCATGGTCACCAGCAGAGGTCTAGAAATTTTGAGGAACAGGTGCAGCCTCTGCCACCTCCAGTTCAGCTTGGAGAGATTAGTGAAAAGGAGTTGAAGGAGTATGATGGGTCTGATTCAAAGAAGCCTTTGTTGATGGCTATTAAGGGTCAGATCTATGATGTTTCTCAGAGCAGGTAATTTTATCTTGGTCTATAAGTTTTCTAAGCTATTCGATGTTATTTGGAGCTTTGACTTTTATTCTTAGAATTATTGGCTTTTTGTTTCGTGCTTGTTTGTTCTTTTTGCTGTTTTTTATTGGTGATTGTTGAAAGTTTTAAGCTTTATGTGAAAGTTGGGAAGTTTTTGGTTGAGAAAAGAAGAGTTAGTGATCCTAGAATCACTCTCTCTTTCTGTTTTCTTTGAACTGCTTTATGCCTTTTTATTTGCCGGGAAAAGTTCTAATTTGGCTGAAATTATCAGTCTCGGAAATTTGCTATTTACACGACGTAGTGTTTCGGCATGGGAATTATAGTGGAATACGGAACTAATAGGGAGTTAGTGTGTAGGTGACACGATCCTTAGCACCCATGGTGTGATATAGCTTCAATAAAATGGGTGAAGATAGGGTTCAAACCCAGTAAAGAATAGTAATATACTAGGCACTTTTTCCATATGCCTAAACAAATTGGTGGGCAAAGTTATCCAGTAACTATGCTGGGGCTATCGGTCTCTGGTGGAATAGTAGATACGCACAAGCTGGCCCCGGAACTACTGTTATTAAAAGAAAATATCAATATTTTCTCTTTAGTGTATAGGTGCGACAATTGAACAAATACTCTAGTAAAAAGTTCCTTCTGCAAGGATTATCCAACGGCTGATTAAGTATGTCAGTCCGCCAGCCAGGTAGCCATTAGGTTCAAAGGCCTAATACAATGGCAAGGCTTAGACTGCGAGGATTTAAAGCAGTCTTGACTTGTTTGTGATTCTTTCATTCCTTGTTGGAACACTGTGACTTTTACTTGATTCTCAGTAGATTCACTTATATTTTCTAGTTTTAATTCAAGCAGTTAGAAAAATCATGGGTCATCTTTTGGATTGCAATCAAGCAGGCTTTTTTCTTTTTCTTTTGAACACGTATATTTACTTTGTTACGTATGGTGAGCTTGGTTCGTCTCCGTGAAGCATTTCATCGGTACTTCAATATATCTTGGATCTGGACATTTAATAATAACTTGTCCTTGTTTCAGCATAAACATGATATCTTTCAACTTTTAAGAATTCTAATATCAAATGATTTCATATGTGATCCTGTCAGTCTGAATGTGCATTCTATTGAACCAGGACAATGTTCTTAATTGATCAAATACCCTGAGTTGAGTTTGAATAAGTTCCTATTCTCACAAATGTATGTTTGAGTCTCTTGATAAACATTAAGCATTTTTAACTACTAAAGGTCTATCATTTGTTTCAGTATCTCTCTTAAATGCTGTAAGCTACTACTATATATTCGTATCCAAGTCTGTTCACTGTGTACTGCAGAATGTTCTATGGACCTGGAGGACCTTATGCACTTTTTGCTGGAAAGGATGCTAGTAGAGCTCTCGCCAAGATGTCCTTCGAGGAAAAAGATCTCACCGGTGATATCTCTGGCCTTGGTCCATTTGAGCTTGAGGCCTTGCAAGATTGGGAGTATAAATTCATGAGCAAGTATGTCAAAGTTGGGACTGTCAAGCAGACAGTGCCAGTAAGTGACGGTGCAGCTAATGGTGAATCAGTTGAGTCAACTGATCGTGAAGCTAAGCCAGCAGAAGGTGTTGCATCAGAGAGCGCAAAGCCATCAGAAGATGGTCCATCCGAAAGTGTTGCTGAAACTGTGGACAAGTCTGACGATGATGCTGAAAAGAAGGATTAATAAACATACCATTTTTAATCAAGTAACAAGCTGAGCCCTCTGGGAACCAGTTTTTTTGTGGAGATCCAAAAAAAAAGGCATTGAAAAGATGTGTGTATTATCTCGTGTTAGACGATTGTTGTTGATTCTAGAACATATACTCCTTAGTCTAGTTACTTTTAAGTCTATGATTTGATGTATGAAATAATGAAACAAGCATTTTACTGTATCAATGGAGCTCATACTAGACGACCACTCGCTAATGTTCACCTGTATGTCTGCAAGTGGTAGCAATTCCCTTTTATCTCGTGTCAAGTGAATCTCTTCTTGTGGTAGCCACTCCTGAAACCATCACACCCTTCCCTTTTTTGTTGTTTTTGAAGCATTCCCCTCATTTGGCAGTAATAAGAAGGGAATTTCGGCAGTAGTATCAGCATCAAGAATATTGATCTCTATGTCCAATTGAAGGAGACGTTAAATTTAGTAATGCAATTTCTACTGTGGTTGTCTGCGTAAGAAGCTTTCACCTTTTCTAAACGCAATACTGCTTATATGGCCGGTGGAAGTGCCAGTGTGGGTAGCTTTTGTTCACTTAGGATAAGACCACATCTTTGGGCTTCCTATGTAATAACACCACGACCATATTCCATTTCTAACTGTCTCCCTCACTGAATAGCCAGCTTCATTATATACTTTTGCACTTAAGGTGTCGCACACCTAGTCAATAAAATGGTGAAAACTATGGGAGAGCAAGGTTTAAATCCCAAGCGAGACAAAAAATGTGATTTTTTTCAATCTGCCTAAGTTTTGGTAGACAGAGTTATCGCGGTAGTGGGAGGGGGAGTACTAGTTAATAGCACGCGCAAATTGTGCCAAACATAGCAAGTAAGATGTATTTACTTAATATTTGCAAGTGGCCGTTCGGCAGTTCTTCCAAGCTGCAATGTTTGTCCGAGAGAGATCCTCGACCAAATTGGACAAGTGGAGCTAAAAAAGATTCTATATTTAAGCAGTACAATGGACTGTTTGTACACAATTATCCTCACGCTATTGGCCTCCAGATGAATATTATATCAAAATTAATGCAAGAAGGGGAAGATATATAACACGAGTAACTTTGTCATTCTGAAGTCTAAATCAAAGTTTCATTTGATTGATTCACTACTTTTGGCTGTATCTAGCTCTGTAAACGTGGCCTGATCTTTTATAAATAGACTTGAATCACCTTGGTACAAATACTTGCAAAACAGCCTGAATAGGCCTGTCTCCTCTCCTATATCTTCATAAAAAACATCTCACTTGTACTTAAAACATGAAACCTCCCACTTCATTATTTCTACTCCTGAATTTCATTTTGGTTCTAGTAGCATTCCATCACACAGATTTCAGGCTAATTAGCAGTGCTAGTATTGCCGAAGCAAATTAAAGAAAGGTCAAAGCTATGTCTTCTCTGTCTTTATTACGCCGTTTAAGTGCAGCTTATCAGTCTCAAAAACTAACCATTAGCAAGAAGTTTGCTCCATTTCATGGTGGTTCAGAACATGTTGTTCCTGGAGGACCAAATCCTCTTCACAACTCTATAGGGCGCAACACTTCTCTGAACCCTGCGTAAATGCGGGATACTTTGTACACCGAACTGCCTTTTTAAAAAGTCATTTTACAATACAAAGATTTTACTCCTATCAGGCCATTACAGAGAATATTACTCTTCTTTTTAGCATTGAATTACTATATATCCTTATCCAATTGTTATGTATGTACAAATTGATATATGAAAATGATATTTGTATATGGTCAAAATCGTATGCCTCCGATTTATAGGCTTGAGGGTCCTCCTTAAGCCCGAGTTCAGGCGAGGTCGAGTTCGAGTCCGATGGATCAGACCTGAGCTCGAAGACAGAATGCAACGCCCGAAGACTGAAACGCGATGTATACCGAGGCCGAGTATACTCGACCCCAAAATAATACCGTTATGGATCTGTAACAAAATGAGCTAGATTCTTGCCACGTCCCCAAGATCATGGCGCGAATTCCGGAATAGGATTGTACGATTCCGTACTAGGCGGTTAGACAACTATACCAATAAGATTCTTTACTGTAAATGGAAATGTACCTTATTTAGAGTTCCCCTATTATATAAAGAGGACCCCAATCAATTGTAACATCATCTAGTCATTGGCAAAGAATATTCTATCCTGCTTTTCTCTCTTACTGTTCATCAGCATTGTCCTTTACAATTATTCATCTCGAGGTCACTAAACTCGAGGTCATAACTGCTGAGTAACATTGGTTTAATTCACTAATTTCCTTCATCTACACTTCATATTTCTTGAATATTAATTGGTATTGAAATAAATCACATATCTTTAAAACCGCAAATCAAATTTAATTGTTACTCGTATTTTCGAGGTAAACAGTTTGGCGCTCACAGTGAGGCTAAAGATAACAGTGATTATTTCTTTACTGATTCTCATTACACGCGTTGTTTTTACACTTTTTCTTGTCAAAATATTTTGATTCTCAGGTTAAAACATATCTAGCTCACAAAACGCACCTGTTCATGACAAGGAAGGTCTTGGAGAAAACAGTAATGCAGGGGTCGGTGTACCACCGATAAACCAAGGGGAAGTGCCAAATATGGAACCAGTTGATGTTAGTTCACACATTGCTCTAAACGCGGATTTAGGCATAGGCCCCGGAGGGAATGTACACAGGGAAGCCCGATCTGGTGGCCAAGGAACATAAGGAATGGGAAATGGGGGAATTAGGCTCTAAGTGATATTCGAGATGCTACAAGCTCAGCAGATCGCCATCGCTCAACTTCAAAGTCAGAATAAGACTCTGAGTGTAGCTGAACATGAAAACACTCGACGTGCTGAACCAGTGGCAGAGAGGTCGAATGGAAATGACTCGGGGACTGACCCCACCATAATGAGGATGCTCTAAGAGCTCACCAAAAGAATAGAGTCCGGGGAAAAGAAGATTGAGGACAATGATAAAAAGATGGAGACTTATAACTCCCATGTTGACCAAATACCGGGGCACCTCCAGTTTTGAAAGGTTTAGATGCTAAAACGTTCATACAAAAATCATTCCCTCATAGCGCGACTCCGATGCCATTCCCAAAAAGTTTCGCATGCCTGATATACCCAAGTATAATAGGACAACCGACCTTAACGAGCATATTACTTCATACACTTGTGGGATCAAAGGGAATGACTTGAACGACGATGCGATCAAATTAGTTTTGTTGAAAAGGTTTGGAGAAATACTATCTAAGGGAGCCATGATTTGATACCATAACTTGCCTCCAAACTCTATTGATTCGTTTGCTATATTAGCAGACGCCTTCGTTAAGGCACACACCGGGTCCATAAAGGAGGCCACGAGAAAATCAGACGTCTTCAAGATAAAATAGAGGAACGACGAGATATTGAGGGAGTTCGTGTCTAGGCTCCAGATGGAGCGAATGGAGTTACCACCGGTCTCGAATGACTGGGCAGTACAAGCTTTTATGCAGGGTTTGAATGAAAGGAGCTCGATTGCGTCTCGACAACTAAAGCAGAACTTGATCTAATATCAAGTTGTGACATATCAGATGTACACAACCGTTACCAATCAAAAATCAGGGTCGAGGACGACCAGTTGGTAGCCCCCTCGGGTTCAGTTCATCCTAACAGATTCGCAGCCAAGCCCCCGAGGGATGTCAATAGGGAATCGAGATTGAACAAGGAACGGTATAATCCGTACGTCGATCGGAGAAACAACAGCTTGGGTCGTAGCGCCCCTCGAAATGATCGGAGAAATGATCGAGGCCAAAGTTCTCGAGGACTCATGAGTAAGAGCGGGTTCGATAAGCATACCGACCCCGTAGAGGCACCTCGATTGTCAGAGTATAATTTCAGCGTAGATGCATCAGGGATTGTGTCAGCTATTGGAAGAATCAATGACACCAGGTGACCCAGGCCCATACAAACTGATCCTTCTAAAAGGAACCCAAACTTGATGTGCAAGTATCATGGCACACATGGTCATAAAACCAAAGATTGCAGGTAGCTCAGGGAGGATGTGGCTCGGTTGTTCAACGAAGGTCACCTTCGATAATTCCTTAGTGATCGAGCCAAAAACCACTTCAGGGAGAGAGATGCAAGGAAAAATAAGCAAGAAGAACCACAACATGTAATCCAAATGATCATTGGCGGAGTCGATGTCCCTCAACAACCTATATTCAAACACACCAAGGTATCAATCACCAGAGAAAAACGGACTCGGAGATATGTGCCCAAGGATGCCTTATCGTTCTATGATGAAGAAGCAGAAGGCATATCTCAGCCACACAATGACGCCCTGGTAATTTCTATTCTTTTAAATAAAATTCAAGTTAAACGTGTTTTAGTGGATCCAGGTAGCTCAGCAAACATAATTAGATCGAGGGTCGTAGAACAGCTCGGCCTGCAAGATCATATTGTACCTGCATCCTCGGTCCTAAATGGCTTCAACATGGCATGTGAAACAACAAAGGGTGAGATTATCCTGCCAGTAAACGTAGTCGGGACTGTACAAGATACAAAATTCCATGTCATCGAAGGTGACATGAGGTATACTGCACTCCTTGAGAGACCATGAATACACAATATAAAGGCAGTGCCTTCAACTCTTCACCAGATGATGAAGTTCCCAATAGAGAAATGAGTAAAAACAGTCTACGGAGAGCAACGTGCTGCAAATGAGATGTTTGAAATCGAGGAAGTGGTACCGATACCAGAGCCTTCGACCTCGGAGAAATAAATTATCGAAGGTAAATAGATGGCCAAATAGCAATCATCGTCTCCAGCCTCGACGGAATCGGAGCAACAGGTAATCGAAGACGAAGATGAGGATTTCCTTACTCCTCGAACCTTCGTCGTCCCCAAAGAGTCCGATGCAACTAAGTCAACGATCAAGGAACTGGAGCAGGTCATACTGATCGAATATATGCCCGAGAGAAAGATATACCTGGGAATGGGATTAACCCCCAAACTCAGGAAAAAACTCATTCAATTTCGTATTGATAATATGGATTGCTTTGCTTGGTCTTATTTAGATATGATAGGGATTCTACCGGAAATCACCACACATCGGTTAAGGATCGACCCCGGGTTCAAATTGATGAAGCAAAAAAAGAGGCCCCAGTCCAAGGTGAAACATGTGTTCATAAAGGACGAGGTAACCAAACTTCTTAAAATAGGGTCTATTCGGGAGGTGAAGTACCCCGAATGGTTAGCCAATATAGTTATAGTTCCTAAAAAAGGAAACAAACTCA